GAAGGACTGGACTTCATGGTAAGACCCTTGACTTCTGTAGTGGGAGGTAAGAGAAATAAGTCAGCAGCTGAGGGAGGGCCTTACCCTATCAGCACTGCCCAATATGGAATGTCTCTTCTATAGTTCTCCTTTGATCCTTGCCAGCTCTGAGATTAAAAAGGAAAAAAGTCAGGGTGGAAAAGAGATGAAAGACCTGTCCTCCGAGAGCTATAAAACCTTGATGAAAGAAATTGAAGGTGACACAAAGAAATGGAAAGGCATTCCATGCTCTGGAATTGGAAGAACAAATATTGTTCAAATGCCTATATTACCCAAAGTGATCTACAGATTTAATGCAGTCCCCATCAGAATACCAACAGCATTTTTCACAAAACTAAAACAAATAATCCTAAAATTGGAATGGAACATAAAAGACCCTAAATAGCCAAAGCAATCTTGAAAAAAAAAAAAAAAAACAGAGGTAACCCAATTCCAGAGTTAAAGTTACATTACAAAGTTGTAATAATCAAAACTGTATGATATTAGCACAAAAATAGGCATATAGATCAATGGAACAGAACAGAAAGCCCAGAAATAAACCTGTGATTATATGGTCAATTAATCTTTTTTTTTTTTTTTTTTCAAAATTTTATTTATTGGGGCACCTGGGTGGCTCAGTCGGTTAAGCATCTGCCTTTGGCTCAGGTCATGATCTCAGGGCCCCATGTTGGGCTCCCTGCTCAGTGGGGAGTCTGCTTCTCCTTCTATCTCTGCCCCTCCTCTCCCTTTCCCCCCTTCCCAGCTCATGCTCTCTCTCCCTCTGTCTCTGAGATAAATAAAATAAGACACCCTTGTCAATCTTTGACAAAGCAGGAAAGAATACACAATGGGGAAAAGACAGTCTCTTCAATGAATGGTGTTGGGAAAATTGGACAGCTACGTGCAACAGAATGAAACTGGGCCATTTTCTCACACCACGTACAAAAATAAACTCAAAATGGATATTAAGGGCCTTTTTATGAAACCAGGACCCTGGGATCATGCCCTGAGCTGAAGGGAGAGGCTTAACCCACTGAGCCACTCAGGCGCCCAAAATTTTAGTTTTTTAACTACTTTGTAACTTACATGGTTGGTTACCAGGGTATTTGCCTCATAATAATTCCTTAAGCTATGTATTTGTTTTATACAATTTTCTGTGTATGTTTTTATTTATTTTATTTATATATTTGACAGAGACACAGTGAGAGAGGGAACACAAGCAGGGGGAGTGGGAGACGGAGAAGCCCAATGTGGGTCTCGATCCCGAAACCCTGGGATCAATACCCGAGCCAAAGGCAGATGCTTAACCACTGAGCTACCCAGACGCCCCATATCTGTTATATTTTTAAATAAAATTTTTTTAAAAGAATAAAAAAGGGTGGGGTGGAGGTGGTGTTAGAGAAGACGGGGACCAAGGAGACAAAGCCCATAGCTTTGAGCCCTTGTTCCCAGTTCCTGTCAGAGGAGAAGCTGCACTATCGTAGCGCTCGAACCAAGGAGCTGGACGCATTGCTGGGGGACCTGCACTGTGACATCCGGGGTGAGGAGAAGCAAAAGGCTGGAGGGGAGCGGGCAGTTTGGAGGACAGTCTACAGGCTCCTTTCCTTCTGCTCTCTCTCTCACTCTGACTCCGCACCTTTTCCTCTCAATATCTTGGAAGGTCTCAGACTATATCTGGTGTCTGGGGGCTTGTCTCTTCTTCATTTTCTCCTGGAGCTGACGCCCAGCTCCTCCCTCCCCTGTCCCCAGACCAGGAGACCCTGCTGATGTACCAGCTGCAGTGTCAGGTGCTGGCACGGGCCGCTGTCTTGACCCGGGTTTTGGATCTTGCCTCCCGCCTGGACGTCCTGCTGGCTCTAGCCAGTGCTGCCCGGGACTATGGCTACTCAAGGCCCCGTTACTCTCCCCAGCTCCTTGGGGTCCGAATCCAGAATGGCAGGTGAGAACAGAAGCGGGTGGAGGCATAGACACAAGGGGCCCAAAGGCCCCATCTTCTGGTGGCTTCATTCATCTGCATTGAGAGGCCACATGTGAGGTGACTTTCTACCCACGGCAGACATCCTCTGATGGAACTCTGTGCCCGAACCTTCGTGCCCAACTCTGCAGAATGTGGTGGGGACAGAGGGAGGGTCAAAGTCATCACCGGACCCAACTCCTCAGGGAAGAGCATATACCTCAAACAGGTGAGGAGAGTCCCTGCACACTGGGCCTCTGGCATCTTCTTCGTTGTCTCCATCTCCCTCCTGCCTCCAAACACAGGTCCCTGCAGCTCCTCCGAGGTGTTCTGACCTGACCTGTCACAGAAAGGCCATTGTGCATACATGTTCTCTCTACTTGAGAGAGAGCCATGCTCTAACAGATCCCTCTGTGGCCTGAAAGCCTCCCCCTACTCTGAACAGGTCCGTGCTGTTCACACTCGGGAACACTGCCCACTCTCCCGCCCTCTTTCCTGATTCTAAGGAGAGCTGAGGGGGCTCTCCTTAAACTGTGTCCACCCCTCCTTGATCTATAATTCACCTCTCAGCCTTGCCTCACCCCCACCCTGGCCCACACCACCAGGCTCAAGACCCTGTCTCCTCCCTATTTAGGTAGGCTTGATCACATTCATGGCCCTGGTGGGCAGCTTCGTGCCAGCAGAGGAAGCCGAAATTGGGGCTGTAGACGCCATCTTCACCCGAATCCACAGCTGTGAATCCATCTCCCTGGGCCTCTCGACCTTTATGATTGACCTCAACCAGGTCAAAGGGAGCAAAGTTGGGGGGGTGGGTGGGACCGGTGGAGGGTGTTAATGGGGAAGGAACTCTATTCTTGAAAAATGATCAGAACAAGAAAACCATTCCCTCTGCTGCGTGCCTTCTCTATTATGGGCAGGGAGCACCGAGTTCAGAGACTGGGAGAATCAATACTTTGAACCTTTGCTTTGCATGAGGCACTGTTGGCAATGAAAGGGTGAACAAAACCCGAGTCTTGCCATTAATGAACTTGCAGTCCAGTAGGGCTGACACACACACAAGCAGCTTTACCCACAGGCAGACTGGTCAGTTCACTGCAGGCCTTGAACGCTACTGAAACTCTCCCTTGTCCACTTGGTCCCCAGCAGGTGGCGAAAGCAGTAAACAATGCCACCAAGCAGTCTCTGGTCCTCATTGATGAATTTGGAAAGGGAACCAACACGGTGAGGAGACAAAATGGAGAGAAACCGAGGAGGGGAAAACGGAGGGGTGGGGTGCTCAGGAGAGGAATGGGGGTATGTGGGCAGGAAAGTACAAGATGGGGATGGCTAGGGCAGGTGGAGTGTATAAGGGGGTGCACCTGTGGTTCAGTACCCTCACCCCTGCCCTGTGCGCAGGTGGACGGGCTCGCGCTGTTAGCTGCTGTCCTCCGACACTGGCTGGCACTTGGACCCGCGTGCCCTCACATCTTTGTGGCCACCAACTTTCTGAGCCTTGTTCAGCTCCAGTTGCTGCCCCAGGGGCCCCTTCTGCAGTATTTGGTAAGGACACCATTCTAGCCCTCTGGGGATCCCTAGGATGAACATTTACCAGAACCCAGAACAGGCTCCTCAGAACAGAGGCATCCTTCCCATTTCTCACTCCCCACAGGGATCAGCCAGGGGTTTCAGGGTGGGGCGCAGACTGATTCATGTTTCACTGTCCCCTTCTATCTCTTTTAAGACCATGGAGACCTGTGAGGATGGGGACGAACTTGTCTTTTTCTATCAGGTGTGTGAAGGCATTGCCAAGGCCAGCCATGCCTCCCACACAGCTGCCCAGGCTGGGCTTCCTGACCAACTCCTTACTCGTGGCAAGGAGGTGAGATCCAAAGGTCAGACACCTCCATCAGGCCTCCCTACCATTGTCCCTACTCTTCTCAGGGGCCTGGGTTTCTGGGTCCATGGGATTTCTGATCCTTATTTCTGGTTCTCTTACCCAACTCCCCCACCTCACCCCACTTCTTGTTGCTAGGTCTCAGACTTGATCCGCAGTGGGAAACCCATCAAGCCTGTCAAAGAGTTGCTGAAGGAGAAGCAGATGGAAAAGTGAGTGTGTGGCCAGTGTCCTGGTTCTTTCCAGCATGTTCTACAGCTCTTCTCCCCCTGTTAGGGACCCAGACAGCCTCTTTGCCCTTCAAAGACCCATGATTTGTTTCTGAAATCCCTAAATTTTCCTGGTTCACTGTGCTACAGCCTCTCCCTTCTGCCTGGGGACACAGCTTTCTATTCTGCCATAAACCCTGCTGTCCTTTCTCCCCTCAGTTGCCAGACATTAGTTGATAAATTTCTGAAACTGGATTTGGAAGATCCCAACTTGGACCTGGACCTTTTCATGAGTCAGGAAGTGCTGCCTGCTGCCACTGCCATCCTTTGAGAGCCCTTCCTTGGCCTTCCTCCACCTTCCAAGACCCCAGCGGGCTGCCACGCCCTGTTTCCTCACCTTCCTCAGACCCAGAATTCTCAGCTTTTCTGCAAATTTTGTTTCGTATTAGGAATAAAGTTTACTTCAGAGAAAGTTATTGTTTCTTTAGACCAGCTAATACAAAACAAAAGAATAAGAACAAGATGAAACACCAAGCGAAGTCCACAAAGGGGCCTACCCTGCCTCAATAGAAACACAGGGACAACGGGGCGCCTGGCTGGTGCAGTTGGGAGTGTGCGACTCTTGATCTCAGGGTCGTGGGTTCGAATCTCACATTGGGTGTAGAGATTACTAAAAATAAACACACACAAACCCACAGTGCCACTGCTGTAGGGGGACCCTGGGTTCCACCCCCGGGGAGAACCAGGTGTTTCAACAGACACTACAAAAGCAGATGAAAAGGAAGACAAAGAAGCCCAACAGAGATGGTCTTTCTCCTAAGCAGGGGCACCCTAGCCTCAGCTAGACACAGCAAAAAGGGCTCTGGGAGGCTGAAAAACAAGGTAGGACGGGCACAAGGCAGGAGAGAAGGGGAGGGACCAGCCCTGGCACCCGTGGGCGTGGCTCTGCCCTTCCCACCTCCGAGCCATGGGGAGCCAGGGTCTTGGTGGACCGCCCCGGGTCCGGGCTCCCTACACAGTTCTGCTGCTGCCACTGGGAACAAGCTGCCGAGACCCAGGGGCCCGGAGCTTTTTCCTCTGGGTGAGTATTAGTCCAGCAAGCGGTCCCAGGGATGCCCACTCCCTGGATCTGCCCCTCCATTTCCACTCAATTTTGAGGACCCGTAAGTCTTCTCCCCTGCCCTCCAGGTGCTCAGTGGTCAGTCTGGAGTCACACTCAGTGACCAGACAGTGAACCCAACCAAGGGCTGAGAGGAAGGGCCACAGCCCAGAGCCCTGCTGTGGAGCAAGTCAGCTTCTGTTTCTTGCCTTCCCAGCTGCAGAGGATGCAGGCTCTGGAGAGGGAGCAGGATGCCCTGTGGCAGGGGCTGGAGCTGCTGGAGCATGGCCAGGCCTGGTTTGAGGGCCGTCTGAGGGAGGCCCAGCACCAACAGCTGCATCTAGGGGCCCTCGGTGAGGTACGGAGCTGCTGTGCCATGTGGGGGAGCAGGGACATGGGGGCAGAGCCTGACACCACCCTGGAAAGGCAAGAGTTAACAGGCAGGGATCATGAACTGGAAGCAGCTGATGACTGGATGCCACCAAGTGTTAGGCTGGTGTTCATTGTTGGGATTGGAGGAGGCTGGCCTGCATTCTATTCAGAGGGACATGGTCTGGATCACTCCACTGAGATGGGGGAGTGGCCTGGATTATTTCAGTGGGGCAGGACTAGACAGGGAGGATCCATAAGGAATAAGGAAAGGGGTACTGTGCTATTTACAGGGGGATGGAGGAACTGGATTGTTAAAGAGATGGGAGTGGAGAGTATTGGGTTTTTCCACCTGCCTTGAGGGCTACTGAGATGAGGGGATCCAGATGGAGATGATATATGGCCTGTGGTGACAGAAAGAGTGGCAGATGGACCGCAAGTTTTCACCACCAACTCCTCCTTTAGAATTTTCTAACAGATTTACACTCAGAGCCTCGTGGCCCCCAGTTAGCCCAGATTCAAAAGGTGAACATGTGTTTGCAGAATCTGATTCAGGAGAAGGTGAGTTTATTGTTTTTCGTTTAGATTTTTGGGAAGGTGCGGGTAGAGAGGGGACTTGGGATCAATGTTTAACAGAAAAAAAAGCAAACCCTGCCCCCTCCCCTGCCCTCCCCATATCCCCTAAATAAGGCTAGTTCCTGTGCTGCCCAGGACTGGAAGGGAAGGCCAAGGAAGCAGAACTTACAGCAGCAACAGGTAAACTGTAGGAATTGGAGGGGGGGGTATAGGGCGGAAGCTCTGGACCCTTGCTGGGGGGGGAGGGCGGTGGGCAGATGCCCACACTCTTTTTCTCCTCCAGGAGTTGCTGAGGCAGAAGGGAGGCATTCGGCCAAAAGGAGAGACCCCTCAGCTGGGCTGTCCCAAGATGCAGAAGGGCCCAACCCGTGTGTAAAGCCTTCTCTGGGTTTCCTCATTTGGTGAGGGGGAAGGCTGTGTCAGAACCCCCAGTCTCCTCATTCTGCTTCTTAACAGATAAATGGCTCCAGGTGGTGGGTCAACTGAAGTCCCAACATCTTGGTGTAAAGTTTCTTCTCTGCAACTGAAAACTTCCATTTCATCTTCTTATGCCCTCATTCTCCCTTATATGATGTGCTTAAATGATCTTTCTTTGAAATCCCACTCTAGAGAACACATGTTTATTGAAACCGTCCTTGAACTTTAAATACAAAAATAAAATAGGGGCTTCTTCAGAATTTTAAATAAGAACAATTCTATAAATAAACCCCACTCCCAAATTTAGTCTACTCTCCATATTTCTTTCCTTCTACCTGAGCTTGGGAAAGCATGAATAACTAGTGGAATAAAGAGATGCTGTGGAGAGATAGGAAGCAACTTTCTCCAAAAAGAGGTATTTGGTTTAGTTCCCACCAGGATTAAAGAAAGTGCACTGTGGGAAAATCTATTGTCCTCTATCCCGATCTCACTAAGAAAGAGAGGGACAAGTGCAACAGAAGGAAAACCTCCATCCCAGCTGGGAGAGGTGGGGTCCCAAGGCCCACATTACCTTCTCACCAACGGGGCAAGATTGCAAATAGCTCTGGAGAGCCATCCCTCAGTGTCACCACGAGGCCAGGCCTAGCAGGAGCAGCACCCCTCCAACTGTGCCCCACCAGGGCTTGTCCACCCGCCCTCCCCTGGCCCTTCCCTGAGTCACCAAAGTGGAGGCCGGGCTGGTCGAGGTGAGGATGGGGCCAGATGAGTGGGCAGGGGTGGCCAGAGGGTCCTGGGGAGAAGGGGGAGAGGCTGTCAGGATGTCTGTACCCAAATTAAGCCTACAGGGCCCTCCTCTTAGGCTGTGTGGCCTGAGATGGGAATAGGCGTGCCTCACCTGCAGGGCGGGGCCCAGCACCAGGAGCCGGAGGAAAGCGTGGGTGGGAGGCCCTGGGCTAGCCTCTCGACCTGTCACGGTCACAGTCACTGTCACCACTGAGTCTGGCATGGCTGAGTCTGGAACCTCCAAGCATAGGCTTCCCCAGGCGGACTCATTCAGTTCCAGGCGAACCCTGCCAAGTGGACACAGACACCAGGCCAAGGGCCAAGCTCTGAAGAACTGAGAGTCAGCGGTCCGGGGGTCTGAGCTAAGCGCCAGCAGGCAGGCGGAGACCCAGCACCAATCGGAGGGGGCTGCTATAGGCGGGGCTTCAGGCATCAGACCCCAACGCCAAGAACCAAAAGGTTCGCCAGAACTGAGCAGGCGGGTTCAGGGGCTGTACCTGGAGAGATTGGAGGTGAGAGGGAAGCTGGGGCTGACAGATGTCCTAAGGTCGAGATCCTGAGGACCCGAGAAGCTAGTGATGCGGAGGCTGAGTGGGGCCTTGCTGCCTGGAGCCAGGAACCCTGGGGAGCCGCTGAGCTGTGGAGGAGGAGGGTGGGTCACGGCAAGAGGGGCTACTGCAGCCCTTGCCACCCGCACCTTCCCCTGGCGTCTCACCTCCAGAAGGACGGGAACCACGGTGCATGGCTGGGTGGCCACTCGGTGCAGGCCTTGCCCCTCTCCGTCCTGGCCGATCAGCTCCACAGAGAAGGGTCCCGTGGTGGACAGAAGCACTGGTGGGAGCGAGGCGGTGAGGAGACCGCGCTCCCGCGGTCCTGTGGGCTCCAGAGGCACCTGGCCCCGCTCAGCACCGTCAGGGACCCCTCGAAGGACGATGTGGGAGAAGTGTGGTCGAGGGTCTCCGGGCTTGCCTCTGGAGCCTAGCCCTGTCACCTCTACCAGCAGCTGGGTCTGGAGGCCTGGGACAGGGTCAGGGATGGGTGGGGAGAACGAGGGTCCGCAGGAGATACAGAGACAGGGAGAAAATAATGAATGGCTTTTGGAATAGGGGTTATTCCTGGGGAGTACAGATGGAGAAAAGGGGTTACCTCTGAGGGTTACTGTTGGGCAGGGTCAGGAAAGATTCTGGGATGCTGGAAATGTTCTAAATCTGGAACCGAGGACTGGTTACGTGGTTCGTTATATGAAGTCCGCCCCGCGTGTACTTTAGTTTGGTGCCCTTCATTATACGGGTTGTAACTCAATACAAAGTTAAATATATATATAAATAATGGGGGCACTTGAATGCCTCAGTTAAGCATCTATCTGCCTGCAGCTCAGGTCATGATCCGGGGCCGCTTGCTCAGTGGGCGTCTGCTGCTCCCTCTCCCTCTGCCCCTCCCCCCAGCTCATGAGCGCAAGCGCAGGCACTCTCGCGCTCGCGCTCTCTCTCTCTCATAAATGAGTAAAATCTTAAAAAATAAGAATGGACAAGTTGGGGCAGGGAGACAGATATACCTGCAACTGGCTGAGTCAGGGGGTAGAGGCCAGGGTGGGGGCCATCCTCCATGGGAATCCCAAAGTAGAAGAGGAAGTCCAGAGATGTCTGAGCTGAGGAGGGCCAAGGCAATCAGAGACCTTCCGGAGAGGAATGTGACTGATAGTGCTCTCTGAGCTCTGCAGCCTTCCCTTCCCCTCCCTTCGGTTCCCAGGAGTAGCTCCCTCCTTACCTTGCACTCTCACCCGGGGTGTGCCCTCAGCTGTGACCTGGATCTCCCAGGTCCCTGTCTGTGGCGGGTCATTCAAGGTAACTATCCAGAACTGCCCGAAGCGACGCGTGTGACCTAGAGGCCCCTCACCTTCCTCCTGGCCCTGGGAGACCCCTGATGGGAGAGGGGGAGCAAGCGATTGGCACAGGGGACCATCCCCATCCCTTAGTATGTCACCCTTTTCCTCCATTCTTCCCTCTGCCTCAAGACACACACAGGGAAGTACCTGCAGGGTTCCTGATCCAGAAGCTGCTGACCTCCCTGTGGATCCGAACTGTGACCTTCTGGAGCAGCGCATCCACACTGAACACAAGTGGCCTCCCAGACACCACAACAGGAGGCTCCAGGGGAAGGGTAACCTTGAAGGATGGGAAGAACCACAAAACACAGGAGAAGATAAGGCAGTGAATGAAGTGGGAACTAAGACAGGAGAAAGGTGGAGACAGAAGGAAACTAAGTCACACGAGGAGAAGGGAGGCCAGTGACAGGGAGGGGGCCAGGGATGGAGTTACAGTCAGTGACAAAGTGGAGACAAGGGATTGAGGGTGAAGCCATCGCTTCTTGTCCCTCCTTAAAAGATGGCAGGATTTCCTGTGGTGGCCCTAAGGACAGACTACTGGAGGCCAAGGTTGGGGGACAGGGAACAGTACTCATAGGGAAGGAGCAATGTGGAAGGTGGGTAGTCATGGATCTCAGAGGAAGAGAAACCTCCTTTCCCACCCTTCTGACTGTAGTGGCAACACACTGGGTTAAACCATTAACCTGTGAGAAAGAGAGGCCGTGTCACCCACACCCTTAGATTCTCAGTGGAAAGCATTAGTCCCTCCTGTGCCCACACTTACTCACCAGGTCAGCCATGCTGTCCCCAACAATGGCGGCCACATCCTGAATGTGCTGGTCCTTGGTGAAGATGACCTCTCCTCCTGAGGCCAGGGCCACTGCTTCATATGGTTCAAAACGTAGAGGGGACAAGACCTCACGCCGAGCTCGGCCCTGAACCCTCGATGGGTCTTCAGTCACTAGGAATGTCACCTGTGCCCAGAAGAGAAGCCAGTACTTGAGAACTCCCCCACTATAAACAGGGGTCTCCTGTGCCCAAGGGCTCTACAGAGCTGATGACCAGTGGCAAGTTCCCTGTCTGCCCTCCGACTGCCACTGCTGGGTCTCTCAGTGACACGACCCCAAGGCCTTCACTTAGCAGTCGCCACTCCTTTGTACTTGTCACCATATGTCACCCACAGGGTGGATTGTTGGCAACTAGATCCCCAGTTTTTTAAGAGGTTTATTGGCGACAGGTTCAAATATGAATTCAGCATCAAATAAGGGATCTGGAAACATTATACTCATTGTCTGCTTTTCCCGCCCCACACCAAGGCTGGGTCAGCCACCAGAGTGTGGGGCGATGCTCATTGTGAAGGTATCATCCTCAGGTCCCCCACATCCCTGGTGGCTGACATCAGGTCCCCGTCAGCTGTGCTCACTCTGCAGCGCCGCTCCTGAGTTAGGGATTCCACCCGGCTGGTGAGCATGGCATCCTTGGGGGAGGCGTCAGTGAAGACAAAGATGTCTGAGAGCGGAGGGGTGTGCAGCAGAGCCAGCTGGCAGGGAGGGGAGAGCGCTGGCATTAAACATGGTGGCAGCAGGTGAATGGGTAGAACCAGGGAGGACAGAACTGAAGGACAAAGGACCCTGGAACCTGGGAGGGAAGCTAGGGGTACTGAGCTCTGAAGGTGGGAAGGGAGGTGGAGGTCCCAGGAAGGCTCGAGTTCCCCTGGGTGGTGGGACCTGGAAAGGGAGAAGACGGAGTGGGGGGGTAGGGCAGACCTCCAGGGCTGACAGGCACATCTCAGGCTCATCTCCACCACCCAAAGCATGGATCTCATTGAGCTGTTGCCAGAAGCTGTCAGGGTCACTGGTTGTAAAGACAGGACCAAATCCTGGGGAGGGAGAAAGGAGGTTGAGGTGAGTGAGGAGCAGGGTCCCCTATCCCTACCCAGGACCACCTCCCCAGTCAAGAGACCTGCTGTCGAGGCCAGGCTCCTGGGGTGAACAAGTATTGAAATAACAATATTCCCTTATATTTATATGGGCAGGGCAAGGGCTAGTTACACTTGGGGGAAAATGGACCTCATTTCCTTCAAAAAATGGCAGCATCTCCTGTGGTCCTGAGCAGGGCTTTATCAGGTATGTGTGTAAATATGAAAAGACCTGGGGCCTCGATTTCCTCACCAGAAAAATCAGAAAAATAACAGTACTTACCTCACAGAGTCATTCGGACTAAATGAGTGGATTTTGTAAACCTTAGAATTGTGCTTTGACCCATTATAAGTGCTAAATTCTTTTTTTTTTTTTTTTTTTTTTAAGATTTTATTTATTTGACAGAGAGATCACAAGTAGGCAGAGAGGCAGGCAAAGAGAGAG